TTTTAATTATGAAAAAGAACCAGCAGATCTCACTGTCATCTAGAATTTAGGGGAATAGGTACACTTTTATATTATTGGTGTCACTAAATTATTCTGTCTTGAATCAATCTAACAATGTCATAAGCTACAAAAACGCTTCTCTACTTTTGGGATACTATTCTGTGGTAGTAGGAATAAAATCAATCTCGGTAGCGATATCAAGTGTGTGTTGGTGGGAGAATGGTCAGGATTACTTATTAGCTGAAGGATACCATAGAGCCATTGAACCTAAGTGTGCAGATGTGCCAATACACAGGAGTGGAAATAACCAGTGGGAAAAGGACACAAAATAGATGAATATGCTAATTGCAGCTTTCTGAAAAAGTCAGAAGTGAAATTAAAAAGATGCAAATACTTTGGAATTCTACTTTTTTTCTGTAAAGTTGCCCAAATTCATTTTTAAAAAACTTACTGAAGTAATGAGACTGGTATTTTTTCATTGCCCAATTTGGCCTGAAATCCTGTGTTGAGGAGTTTAGAGATTTGAGCAAGTAGCACAAAGCAGAGGCCCCTTGACTATCGGGTGACTGGCTCAGTCACACTTGGGGAAATTTTAAAATTCAGATTCCTCCAGGCTCCACCCCAGCACCAGCCTAGTGAGGAGAGTACTGTATTTCAGAGTCTCAAATACCAGCAATTGTAAGGCACACCTTTATTTTGTGAACCATTAAGAAAAATGTGCTGATTAGAAAAAGCTATGAAAATGCTTATCATTTAGACTTATTATTATATTTATTGAGAGCTCTTTTCTTTAGACAAATTTTCATCATATCACACTAATTCATATACAGAAAGGGAAATGGGATAGTCCTAAAACTTCACGTTGTGATTCTGACGTCCTGAATCATGTTTTGACCCAGAGTTGTCCTCTACTGTTTTCCCGAGCAGTGTCTTCCTCTGTGCCACGGTGAGCGTTGATGATGTGTTTCTGAAAAGCATATTCTGTTGTTCCAGGATTTTCTTCTAAGCCGCTGATACCCATTTTATAAGATCTGATGCTGGGCTTTATTGACCTTATCAGGAGGCGACAGGCCATGACAACCACATTACAACTGCCACCTACTGGCGGTGATTGTGAGACACATGAGTTTACACACGTGAGAACAAGAGTGTCTTAGAACCTATGCCATATTGTTACTTCGAAGGAGGCAGTGCTCTGCTTGGATGTTTGTCAGACCCTGAGTTTAATAGTTGGATTATGTCACTTTATATCTTGAATGAGATTTCATAACATCCAGTCAGTAGGGATTAGAGTCTGTTATCGGGCTACTTTGCTCAGTGCTCTCATGAATCAAACATGAATTTCTAGTCTCAATAAGGGTTGAAGGACAGGGTCACACTTTTTGCATATGGAACATAGGCCCTCTAACATTGTCTTTGAAAACTTACATCATGTCAGTATACCCTTATTGATAGTTTCATATTAGATTTCTGACAGGTATCATATGAGACACTTCAACATGACTTGCTAGATTCTCAAATGACATGAGGCTACACAAGGAAGTGGACTGCCCTGTCTGGTCCTGACAGCTGTCACAAGACATATCATTTGAGCAAAAGCAGATGTTCCTCCCCCCAGAGTGACTAGGAAGCCTTTGTGGATGGGGACTCTCACTGGGTCTCAGCCACAGGTTTCACTCTCAGACCTGCGTGGAGGTAAGGGAAGAAACCTCTCCACTTTATAAAGATTTCAATCTATGGCCTGCCTGTTCTGGATTTTCTTTTTTTTTAGGAGGTGAGGGTGGGACAAGAAGTGGTGGTTCCTCCTAGAGCTTGACAGATTTGAACTTTTCTCTTTCCTAATCTTGATACAGACATAATATCTGTGTCCCAGCTACATTGGCTTCAGGAGGAAGGGGCAATGGGTCAGTCATTCTCAGAGAAAGGGTGGGCTGGCTGTGCGAATCATTTGGTCTACTGGCTCACACTTTATCTTAGCTGAGGTTTCCAGAGATGGGGAAGATTAGTGTTGGAAAGGAAATGTAGGGCTCTAGAATCTTTCTGATGTCAGGGTTTGAGAAGTATGCCCTCAAGCCAGTCGGACTAGGAATAACAGGTGTGTTATCCTTACCTAAGCCATTTAAAATAATTCCTTGGAGTGTATGCATTAAAAAAAGTGCCTATGATGTGGCAAGGGCAGACAGAGCATTTAGTTAGCATGACAGCTCCAAGTTAAAACCTCCACAGAGTCTTATTTGACTTCATCTCAACAAAGGATAAGGCTTTCCTAAGTCTTGCCTGAATTCCTCTTTACTATGACCCACTCTTGCTGGGTAGAAGCTGGCCAACTTCTTTGAGTCTTTGACACACTCAAAGCCCAGCTCCCATAAACTATCTTCCTTGTGCTTTAAATGCCCAACAAAGGCTTTTAAGAACCACCTTTCCTCCCTACGAAATGGTGGTTTTTGTTTAGTAAAGAAAAGTTCCTTCTAGTTAGCATCTCTACAGTCAGGAACTGGGATTAGTCCATGTAGATTCTGTGTTTCTTCTAACAGGCTGAGTAGTTGGGAAACAGTGACATTAATGCCAGTTAAACTAGCCTGGTGGGAAGCATTCTTACTTTTTGAGAAAAGTCAGCCTCTGAATTCCATAAACATCTGGACTATGATACTGAATAGTCAGGGTGAGAACACAAATGAGATACAGTAGCTGTAACTCACCTTTTTTTCCCATGGTAGTGACACAGGAGGAAAAGAATGCTTTTGCTCTTTTTTTTTTTCTAACATCCCCAGCACTGCCAAGAAGCCTGGGTATATGCCTTATACCACTAGAACCAGCCTAACCTAAGACTGTTGCGGAATAAAAACCCAGCATTCTCTCCATGATTTTGTGCTCCCATAGTTACTTCTCTCCAGCCGATCCTAACTGGCCTACAGTAGAGTGGCTGTCCTTGGGTCTTACCACTGAATCTTCCCTAAATCATTTTCAGTGTGTATCCTGCCTGAAAATGCAGTCTGAACCTTCTTGGATCTCTTAAAATACTCTAATCCAGTAAATAGCTTCTAAAGGCTTCCTCCTGCAGCCCTAAATTGCTCCCATTTCCATTAAGGGTTCTCTAGCCCTAGTGGCCCTTTTCTTCCCAATGCATCCATACACAGAAGGGCCACTGGTGAGATATGACTTGTAGCCAAAACTGCCCAGAGAATTAACTTGTCATCTGACACTTTCTAGGGGTGCAAAGCCCTCAGAAAAGTGGGCCTGGCTGTCAGCATTTTAAGTTTGTATATCTCCCAACCTCCAATCAGATCACAGATGGGAAATCAAGAACAGAAGGTGAGAAAACAAGATTCCACGTTCACAAGATTATTCTTGTTTATTGAGGTCTGTTTATTCTCAACGGGTGCTTTTTCCTCCAAGTAAATAGAGCAGGCGTAAATATCTATAATGAATAAATTTATTGTCTTACAAAAATCATTGTCTAGAAATATGGGAATACAAGAAAAGATATTTGCAGTCAGGTGTCTGGTGGTCAACAGCCAGTACAATTCATAAAGGAGTAAAACCAAAGATTCTAAACCCACGTGACAAATTCTTCCTAACAGATGTTAAAGCTTTTAACCCAAAAGGTTTGTGTTTTCAAGCACATTGCAGAGGATCAGGGATTTATAATTAACACTGATTCATTGTCACTGAATGTTTATAATACCACTTTGACTAGAGAGGTACATGATATGAAGCACAGTCAAACTTAATACATTAAATTGTTACAGAGGCAAATAATATATTTAACATTGTCTTAGTACTGTAGTGTCTAAGGCACTTTCTGTAATGTCAGTTTGCTTAACTATCAACCAAAAACAGAATGCTAAGTGTTCACTGTAACACTGTCCAAAGAGAAGGGAAAAGGAAAAATGAAAAAGGATTCACATCCACTGGCATGTCAACATTCAGGCAGATGGCATCTGTTCTTGAGGTTCTGTAAACCTCACTGACAAACTTGGAACAAGTCTCGGACACAAAACCAATATTCCCATTTTGGGCTTAAAGCAGCGGCTGAATTTGCAAGGTCAGCATGAAAGCCTGGCTGACAACATGAGGGCCTTCCAGTAACTTCTGCTTAGGAGCATGCAGCTGCTTGCTCTGAAGTGAGGACTAGTACACCGACAAAGCCAGAGGGTTCAGGAGACCATCGGGAAATCAACGTGATTGCTGCCACCCAGGGCCTCAGCTGCATCGTAGCCACTATCCTTTCTATGCACAGACCAGCCCTGGCCAACAACAGTTCATGTGAAGAAATGCGGGGACACCACCAACTCGAGGAAGATGGGCATGGTAACCCCAAATGGATGCTGCTTCCCCCAATCCAACCCACCCCTCCTAATCTTTCCAAAGCCCCTTTCACAGTTTGCTCACTGAAATAGTGTTGATCATTATTTTAAGGAAATGAGAGATACAAGTGCAGTTTAGGTTCCACAATGTTCTAAGAGATGATGTGGCTGAGGAGTCAGGGGCCACATGAACACAGAGCTAAGTTACCTGTCTGTATGACAGAGAGCATGCAGAGCGACTGAGCAACAACCACGGGGCTGCCCCAATAACCCAGCGACTGGCAACAAGGGTCTGGAGTTTGTCTGAAAAAGGGTTCTCTTCTTAACATGTATTATAAAATGGTCTCTTGATGAATATATGGAAAATAGATGCAATGATGAGACAATCTGTTTAATATGTGCATGTTTTGTGTATGTATATATATAAAAAGGGGAGCAATTGTACCTAAATCTGAAGCAGGATACAGTATGTGTAGGCTGGAAAGCCTTAAGACACAGTTGATCTTTTAGTAAGGAATCCCGTAGCTTGCCAATTTCCTAAATCTCTAGGAGGCCCAAGGCAGGCTAGCGCTGGGTGAGTTCCTGCGTGTCCCACTGTATTGCCTCCACTGGCTTCCTGTGACACTACTCTGACTGGGTCGGCTGCGTCTCATTAACATCACTGGTCTTACTCTCGGTGTCATCATCTGACAGCTCTAGGGAAGCCCCTTCGATGTGCAGCTGGCGCCGACCAGATCGGCTTGAAGAGAAGCTGATTGGGCCACCACGCCTGGCAAGAACAAAAAGTAGACACGTGGGTAAATACACAAAAACATATGGCTGTCAAGTTGTTCAATTACATAATAACTTCAAACTTCTTCGGGACACACGACCTAGAGTGGATGGGCATAATCAGGAAAGGCTCTGGGCTTCTCCACCTCTCCTACATCCTGCCCTTGGAATATCATCCTGGCTAACGCACAGTGTACATGGAGCAGGAAGTCCTCAGAACTGGGGATGGCTTGATCCCATTTAAGGCTGTGACAGAAACAATAAGGAAGATGGATTAAGTCAAAGCTCTACCTGCTAACCAAGGGTCAGCATTTCCATAAAGGACAGCTAGTAAATATTTTATTTAGGCATCGTGGGCTGCATAAAGTCTCTGTTGCACATTCTTATTTTTTCTTAATAACCCTTTATAAATGTAAAAACCATTCTTACCTCGCTGGCTATATACAAAAGCAGGGCACATCAGAATTTGGCCATGGGCTACAGTTTGTCAATACCTGTGCTAACCTGGTCTTCTGCGGGGAGAAAGAAGTTTAGCTTTAGCTCTCTCATGTTTTGTCCTCTCTCTGCTGCATATCAGGTCTAGTGTGGAGTGAGGATGGGAGGAAGGCTGATGGCGCCAGGTCCCGCGAGGAGCTCCTACCCTGCCTTCTAATGGAGGCTGGGACCATTCCTCACTATGGACGTCTGAACATGGATGGACACTTGACATGGCTCTTAAGCCTTGTGTGTTTGTATGGTCCACTAGTAAATGGGAAAAAGAGAGTGGGCCTGTTCCTCTTCTGTTCTCCTCAGGGGCTATTAAAGGTAAAAATTCCTGAACAGATAAACGGGAAGGGATTTAAGAGCATGAACAAGTAAACCACTTTAGAAAAGCCAAACCCTAAGCCTACAATTTTGGCTATAATTGCAGGCTTTAAGTGAAGACTCTGTGAGACCCAGTGCTTCTCACAGAAGTCCCCGAGGTTGCTCACCTCAGCCGGTTCTTCAGAGTGCTGACCTCACGGCTCAGGCCCTCATTGGCCTCAGTGGCATCATCCAGTTCCCGCTGGAGCTTACGCCGAGATGCATTGGCACGCGTAGCTTCTTCTTCTGCTTCCTCCAGCTGCCGTTTAAGCTGCTTCATCCTGGCGTTGGCCTTCTCCATCTTGGGGAAGTTACATGAACCAAGTCAAACCAAACTGGTGAAACCAAATTTAGTATCGCTGCATCCTGAGTGTGTGAGCACAGCTCTCCACCCTGTCAGCCATGTGAGCACTCACGTGTGCTCACATATACGCATGGGCATTACTTAAAGACACAAGACTGGGGGCTGGTCTAAGGCCTTTTGATTGGCCTGCCATTATCAGCAAAGCCAGTGTCTACAGAGCAAACTCTATAAAGGAAATTTTTTTGCAGAAAACAACAGTTTATTATCTCCAGATGAGTTGACCTATGAGACTGTGAAAAGGGAAATGCTATTCTTACAAAATATAGAAGAGTCAGCAATTGTGGACAGTCTGTCCAACCCCAGGAGATGGTACGTTCATTTTTACATCTCCTTTAATATGGGTGTTTCAGATTTTATATTGTGATTCCAGTACAAAGTCACTCTGGAAGACCTGACGTGATTAGTCACTCCTGAGCCATTAGAAACTGGCCTGTGTCCTGTGGGTCCAGTTCACTCACATACACCCAGAACTGCCCTCAGTGCTGTTAGGCCCTGAGGGTGGGGGTGGGAAGGGAAGGCCAGCATGCCTGATTGGAGCAGGGGAAGAACAGGGAAGGGTATGGGCCGAAGGTAGCAGAATCCTCAGCTCTGTCCACATTTCCTCCCAGTGTCTGAAGTGGCAAGTCTCATCATGGTGAGGGGAATGAGCTGGAGGGAGAGCACAGCTACCCAGACTGTCATCTATGCCACAGTCCTATTCTTAGAACATTCCCTTGATACTTAAAAAAAGGATGCCTGGATGTAGACAAGGAAGACCACTGAGGTCCCGCATGTAGTACATTTCTCTTTGCTTTCTATTCGACATCCTACATGTTCTCCTCCATCCAGCCGATATACAGTGACTGCGAACTATGCCTATTCTATTCTAGGCATTCAAGAGATGACACTAAGTGAAACTCAGTGAGGCAAAAATCTCTGCACTCAAGAAGCCTACATTCTTGGTGGAGGAAATATGAACTAAGATTCGATTTAGGCCTCACACTTCAAAGCCCTCCTGATGTGCTCTCACCCACCCCTCCTCTGTTTCTCTGGTGCGCTGAGAGAGCCCTGAGGGGTGGGGGGCCATGTCTTAATCACCTCTGTATCCCCAGCACTCAATAGTGCCTGGAAGAACAAGGAATAGCACATATAAAACATGAGAATTAAAGAGTTTCAAATAGCATTTTCTTAATTTAGTCAAATGGTAACATTTTGCATCAGTTGCTTTGCTAAAGCATTTCTAAGGTTGAAGACATTTCATCCTGCCCTGCCTTCTTCCCTTACCTGTTCTTTATACTGATCTGCATGTCGACGTTCATCTTCAACCTGCATGAAGATTTCTTTCAGCTTCTTCTCAGTACGTCGGACCAGTTTGTTGGCTGCTGCTCGTTCCCTATGAAAAGGATCGATATTTGTGATTCTTAAAATGACAGTTTGAATGAGGAAAATATTTTTTAAAGTCCTTTTTTTCCTAGAAGATGACATATGTTGGAGTACTTTCCAGGACTTCTGACCAGAATAATATCATAATTAATATGGTTCAGAAAACTTTTGCCTTCTAGTCACGACATGGATGGCCTTTAATGTATTCTAATACTGATAGGTAGAAAAAGTATATTATTCCTTCACATACAGATATTAATTACTTGATTTAGTGATCTTCTAAAGATCAAACACAAACTACCTGATATTGAGTGCAGACTTTTTGAAGACAAAAACCTTAGCTGGTTACTCTAGTCATCTAAACTTTTTAGCCTAGAAAACAAAACAAAGACCCAATTTATTAAGTGACTGGTTCAATCACCTGACACTTACTATGATGCTAGGGGCTACAGCAGCTAACATTGAAAAGAAACAACCGAACAAACAAACATACCTCCTCCTTTCTCTCTAAGTTAGAGATCAAACAAATCACCATGTTTCTAGACAGGCCTACATTTTCCCTAATGAAGGAGAGATAACTAATTTGTTGAACTCCACTGAAAACAGAAAAAGTTCTTTTGTTCCTTGACAAATGTTATGCAAAAATGGGTAGCGATGGAGTTAGCTGAAAGGACAAGTCTCGTTAATTACAGCTAACAACAAACAAACCCTTCATTGTTTTATTTGAGCACAGTGGAGTTGAAGGAGTGGAGTGGGAAGTACAGATGCTGGGTTGGGGAGGGAAGATGTTGGGCTTTGGAGCACAAGCCCTGCATTTCTGCACCCCAAGCTCCACAACAAGAAGGTGAATTTGAAGGTCTTTATAACTTTGTAAATGCCTGCCAAAAGCTGTATTGGGCAACTCCTCATACATTTCAGAATAAAAACTGTCACTTCCCATGAGCGAAGAAAAGCTTTTATTTTTGATACAGTGCATTTCTTCTCTGCCAACAAATTATAACATTTCCTGTGATGCCACCAACTTGGGAAATCAACTTTGGGTAAAAATGTAAACTGGCACCTAGAAAATCATGGGACACCATATTATCAGCTGAGTCCTAGAAGAGCTGACAGGTGAGCCCAGCCTTTCCTGAGGGCTCACACCTCCTATCTCCCACTCCAGTTACATACGTACTGGTCATCTCTTCCCCTGCCATGGTAACTCCCACAAGGCAAGTGTCTATTTTGTCTCTGGCTCACAGGCTGAGTCTGGACCTGGTCTGCAGTAGAGAAGCTCTAAGTTTTGGTTTACCACAGTAAAAACCTCTTACTTGGCTTCCTGCTCAAGCTGCTCCTCCAGCTGCCCAATCTTGGCTTCTAGGGCAGAGATGGTGGCTTTGAACTTGGACTTGACAGCACCCTCTAGTTCCTGCAGCTTGGCCTTCAGCTCCTTGTTTTGCCGCTCCAGCTGCTGGCGTGCATTGTCACTCTTCTGGGCAGCGCTGCGCTCTGCCGCCAGCTCTGCATTCAGCGTATCCACCTAGACAGGAGAGACAGGGTTAGTCATTCGTGCCAGAGGGGTAGCACAGGCCTTCCCAGGTGACGGGCTGCTGTCTGGGCCACCTGTAGCGTGGTCTTGCGAAAGCGGTCATTGAGCAGCTCCATATTGCTCTGTTCCTCTTCAAGCTCCTCCTCCAGCTGTGCGATTCGTGCCTCCAGACGCCGCTTCTCATCCAGTAGGGCAGACCTGGCAGAGCAAGAAGATGACAGCTCAATAGCAGCTCTACACAATGTGGGGAAACTCAGGGAAGAGGGCTCCTCTACCCACCGTGCTGCAAGAAACTGAGCACTGTTCTTGATTTTTCTCTCCCCTGAACCCACTGCCCAATCTATCAAGTCCTAGTCATCACACGTCAAACACGCCACCTACTTCTCTATCCCCATGCCTGCTACCCTAGTCCAGGCCCTGTCATCTCTTATCTGGACCACTGTGGGAGCCTTCCAGCTGACCTCCCTCCTGCCTCTCCATCTGTTCTCCACAGACAGCATCAGCTTTCAAAAGTACAAAAAGAGCTTGGCATTCCCTGGCTTAAAATCTACCTGTTTTCCAGTGCATTGAAATAAAAATGCTAACTCCTCATCATGGCATGCTAGAAAATGATCGTGATGTACCCTCAGTACAGTAATTAAATGGAGAAAGCAACTTCTTAATTGGAATAAAAGATGACTTTTAATGAAAAATGCATTCAAGGAAAGGTAAGTCTGATGAATGAGAGTGGACTTGCATTGCATAGCTGTGCAGTCTATGGAAACCAGGTTAGTTCTGAATGTATTCCTTTATACTTACTGTCGGCATGACTGGCATGAGGAGGTGTGACCTGCCTGGGTCGTGCAGCCAGCCAGTGGCTGAGACAGTCTGGAGACTCAGCACCTTCTGCTCATCTTTCCAGACTTTGAACACATGAGCAAATCAACTACTGACTTCTTTATGCCTGACAACACCCACAGCCTTCTCAGTGTAGCAGGCAAGCCCAGGGGAATGAGCCACTGTTGCCTAAGAGGACTGGTGGGGCCGCCACAGATGCCCCTTTCCACCTGCTGTCAGGAGACTTACTTGCCAGAGGCGCTGTTGGCGATCTCATCAGCCAGCTCATCTCTCTCCTGCTCGGCATGTCGGCGGGCTCGCTCAGATGAGGCAAGTTCCTAAATAAGTTTAGACCGTGATTTAAACTCTGGCTGTTGATAGTTTCCTCAATTGTGAAATCTGACAATGCCTATAGGCTATAGCCACCTTGCTCCAAGCACTCTATGTATGCCTCAAATTACAATCAGATTTGAGAAATTAAGGTGGTAGGTTTGCTGAAGAGAATCTGTCTGGGTATAGGTCAGCCAGGTGATATGCTGTATCAAAACGTACAAAAATGTCCACAGAGGAAGTCCTAGTCTGTGTAAGGGCTTTGCTGTCCCTTCCAATTTAAGAGGCAGCTATATTCCTGCCCTTCTTAGAAAGCTGGTGTTTCTTAATCATAAACTGAGCACAAACTTCATGCAAACCCCAAACTATACCAATTCATGGTCTTGAAGTATCTTCTGCATATACAAGTAGTACAGTTTGGAGATCAAATCGACTAGCTAGGTAGACCAGTGAATATCAAGGCACCAGAAAATAAGGTAGTTGTGCTGTACAGTTAGGATCACAGCTCCCAAGGAGGTG